GAGAGGGCATCTGGTGAAAAATTTTCTATTTTTATTATAAACAGTGGAAACGAAACAAATAATTATCAATTAGCAAAGAAAGAAAAAAAAACAAAAAAAAAAAACAGCAACAACACAAATAAGCTATAGTTGTATAAAATGTGAAGTCTTAGCATCTTTGTGCACACTCATCAAACAGGTTTCCCTTTAAAAACATTCGAACTGTGAACCTATCACCGTGCGTGTCTAATGTCATCAAATGGAATACATTATGTTAGGGTATGCTATCTATTTATATATCCACGTGCTATTAAAAAATAAAGCTTTGGATACTGTTACAACTAAATGTTAAATGACATCCAGGCCCATATCTCAGACATATTATCTATGTTAACGTATCTGGCTCAGCAGACGGTAGCAGTAAAAACTCTGAGACATCTTGTCAGTGTTAACGTGTTTGGCTCAGCAGACGGTAGCAGTAAAATCATTTAACAAGACGTTACTTAGACAACAAACTTTTAAAAATTAACAACAGAACTGCAGTTTACCTTGAGTATGTTTATTACATTTTAAACTTTCCCCTGCTTTACTTTTGAAAGTAGATTATACTCCTCTGATAATAGTACTGCCATAATCTTTACTTCCGTTTTTTTTTTTTGCGTTAATCTGCTTTCCTTCCAGGTACCATTTGGGATACCTAAATGTAGTACTTCATATATTACATTTTTAAAGTGGACAATCAGGCAATATTTGTTTTGTTTAAACTAACATTTTAATGCCGTGAGGGGAGAGAGGGTTAGTTCTGTTTTTTAATGCGCCTAAGTTGTAAACAGATATCCGTAATCTCTCTTTCTTACTGTGAAAAAGAGGCTCACTTCACTTAATCCTTAATTTATGTCACAAATCAGCATTCTCCTTTTTTTAAAAAAAATGTTCTTAAATGATTAGGAGCGGTAGTCACAGAGCTTGAATATTTATTTCAATTTCTTGGTTATCTTTCATGGCATCAAGTCTAGCAACTTATGACATCCTAATTGTTTGAGCTCCTTTGTTTTTGTTTTTTCTTTGGCTTTGGTGAAATTAATTGTTTTAAAAAAAACAACAAAACATTATTTCAATAGCTTAAACATTGCTTTTTAATACCCCTCTGAATTGAATTAGCATTCTATAGGATGTTTCTGTCGATGCTAGACACAAGAAAATGCTATTCATTTAACGCTATCAACTTATAATTTTGTAATGTTAAGTCAAAGTAGCATGGGGCACTGGGAAGGGAGGGAATAAAATCCTTGGATCGTCAGGCAACGTCTGGCGTCTCTGTCGAGCAAGAGATCACTATCATGTATTAAGCGATGGTGAAGGAGAATGGTGTACACACCAGAGCAGCATGTGTTCATCATTTGTGGTCAGATATGCACAAATTAATCTAAATTAATCTAAATAACTATATTCTTTGAGATAGGCGCTTTATTTTTTGGGTCTAGCTCTATCTCATGGGCATAGCTTTATCCATTTGGTCTAGATTTATCTCATAGGTCTAGCTTTATCTCATGGGTGTAGCTTTATCTTATGGGTCTAGTATGATCTGATGGGTCTAGCTTTATCTATTGGGTCTAGTTTTATCTCATGAGTCGAGGTGTATCCATTGGGTCTAGTTTTATCTCATGGGTCTAGCTTTATCTCATGGGTCTAGCTTTATCCATTGGATTTAGCTTTATCTCAAGGGTCTAGTTTTATCTATTCGGTCTAGTTTTATCTCATGGATCTAGCTTCATATTATGGGTCTAGCTTTATCTCATAGGTCTAGATTTATCTCATGGGTCTAGATTTATCTCATGGGTCTAGCTTTATCTCATGGGTCTAGTTTTATCCATTGGGTCTAGCTTCATCCATTGGGTCTGGTTTTATCTATTGGGTCTAGCTTTATCTCATGGATCTAATTTTATCTCATGGGTCTAGCTTTATCTCATGGGTCTAGCTTCATCCATTGGGTCTAGCTTTATCTCATGGATCTAATTTTATCTCATGGGTCTAGCTTTATCCATTGGGTCTAGCTTTATCCATTGGGTCTAGCCTTATCTGATGGGTTCAGCTTTATCTAATGGGTCTAGAACCGACAGAATCAGTCCTATAACATCAAGCATATTGTAATAAAGGAAATTGCTTCTACCCTATGAAACCTACCCTTCGAACTTGTTGTTATTTCAGCTTTAAAAGAATAACAAATACATTTTTTTACAGCTTTTTTGTTTTCCTTTGCCATTTAGTCCAACCAGCACTAGGGAGCAGCAGTCCCGAGTATATCATGTATAACACCCTGCTGTATAACCCCGGCTCTCGTGGCCCACTTGAAATCTCACCTGAATTCACAAATTACTGGAGCAGTGGTGTCAACATCTTTATGTTAATAGATAAATCAATCTATGTTCGGTTTTCATCTCCTGTCTTGAAGCTTTTTAACTGTAAACTTACCCCCCCCCCCTCATTTTTTTTGGTTTTTGTTTTGTTACCTCCCTTGATATAAACTGAATTAAAATTGTCCGTATGACAACCTGAATTCACAAATTAATGGAGCAGTGGTGTCAACCTCTTTATGTTAATAGAAAAAACAATCTATGTTCGGTTTTCATCTCCTGTCTTGAAGCTTTTTAACTGTAAACTTACCCCCCCCCCCCTCATTTTTTTTGGTTTTTGTTTTGTTACCTCCCTTGATATAAACTGAATTAAAATTGTCCGTATGACGTAACTGTACAGCTGGCTAATGGTTCTTGGAGATTTCTTCAAACAGCTCCACCATTTTCATAGTAATCGATCTGATTATGATTGTATGTGATTTTTAATAAAAAGTGTCAATAAAACACCTAGATTACACATCTGTCTTGTCGGTTGTTTCCTCCGTCAACTAAAACTAAATCATTTTAACACAAGGCTGCCAGGTTGTAAACAACTTTATTTGTACAAGTCCATTTGAAACAGAGAACACGTTTTCATGGGCCAAATTTGTTTTCGTCAGCCGGAACAGGCAGTTAACTCAAACGTTCTTGGTAAAAAAACAATTTTAAAAATTAAGAATTAATTAAATCGCAAATGAAGAAAACGCGTTTCAACAATTAATACAGCCACATTCGTAGATCATTGTTTGGGGGTCTTATCACGTTGTATAGTTTTGGACCTATCCATGTTATCGCACTATATAGTTTTAGGATTATCTAAAGTGATAAAGGGTTTTGCAGCTTGACTCTAGCGAATTCCTCTGCGAACCAGACAACGAATGTTGGCAACCTTCGATGATTCAGAAATGTATCCCAAGAGAGCAAACAGAATTCGAGTCGAATGAGACGATCCAGGTTGATGCCTTTGGCATTTTTGGCATAATCACCAATCGCCGTCATGTGTGTGAAACAAACAAGTAAACCGCGAAGGAAAAAAAAAGAGGTGAAACTATGAAATCTTTAAAATAAAAAAAATTAAATAAAAGTATTTTGAAAGTCTGTATAATGCATTCAACGCCAATGCCTTTTCTGCTACTGTATTTTAACAATCAACGATTCTTTATCAGGGCCGTTTTCCGCTCACAGCTCGCCTCAAAGAGCCTGGGCCCGGACGGCAGTCGGTTCCTGAAAAAGAGCAGCACCGTTGCTCTGGGGACGAAGAGAAACATGATGGCGGTGGTGTGGTTGATGATGATCGCCAGCATGAGGAAAACGATCTTCAGATTTCGCTTGTTCGTGGTGAAGTAGGCCGGCATGAAGGCGACCCACATGATGAGCGTGGTCACCACGCACATCGACACGTAGCGGCTCTCGTTGAACTTGCTGGGTAGGCGCATCGTCTTGAAGGCGAGGAGCGAGCAGAGGACCAAGAGGAGGATGTCGAGCGAGAGGAACGAGATGAGGTAGAACCGCGGGATGAAGCAAGCCAGTTCCACGTAGCGCTCCCGCGTGTTCGGCTGGCGCTGGGAGACTTCAATCCCGCTGACCGTGTAGAGCAAGAAGTACAGGGTTACCTGCAAAGTGAATAAAATAAAAAAAAAACGAGCAAATGAAGATCCCTTGTCATAAAACTTCCCAAAATAACATAGAGATTTCTATCGAAAATTGTATTCAACTTAAGTTTGTTGAAGATTTTCTTATGGCCGTTACGAACACGAATGAAAGAACCATAAGAAGAAATAAAAGATCAAATACAAATTCTTACTCAATTTTTAAATCAAACTATTTTGAAAAAAAAAGACTGTTTTTTTTTTGTTTACCCTTCAACCCCCCCCCCTCTCCCAATCTCACCCCAAATTTTCCAACTGTAATTTCTGTGCTTAGAATTGTCTTTCAGCAAAATATCAATTATCGCTCAGCACTGAGCAGACTCTTTCAGTTTCAAATAAATATGCAAGTCGTAATAATATAAAAATCAATTTGTTGACGTCATTTTTTTGATACTTCAAACATTATTTTGATCCTCTTTAGAAATTTTGTTGTGTTTTCAGAAAAAAATGAATGCAACTGTGATGAATGAGTTAATCTTTTTAAAAGTACATCACTTGGAAATGGCGTGGTTATTCTTTTTTTATTATAATATTTCCCCTCCTTTAAAAAAAACCCAACAACAACTGCTATCTTATAAAGGATCGACTTCGGTTATATGGTTTTATGAATTACTCCACCTAAACCTGGTGATTCTGACATCATCTCGTGGCATCAAACATCACGTTTACCCGACAATTTTGACGTAACAATGACATATTTCTTTTAAATACATTAAGGCAGAAATTTTTTTCCAATAAATAAATAAACAAAAATCTTTGGTTTTAAAAATCAAAACTTACCACAAGTCATGCAAGTGATTTGTAAATTTTTTCTTCCTTAATTCAAACATTACAGCTGATATCGTTGACAAAGAACCTGACCAATATAGGACAGACGACATCGCTGATTAAGGATCTTACTGAAGTAGGACAAATGACATCGTCGACAAAGAACAATACTGAAGTAGGACAAATGACTTCGATGAATAAGAGCGTTAACTCAAGTAGGGCAAATAGAACCGGTCACAATGATCCTTACCTCAAGTACGACAAATGACAGCGTCATAATTAGCTGAAACGTTGGGCTTGTGTACTTGATCCTCATTTCGTTCCGGCACGTCTGGAAGATTCTGAACACGCGCACGGCCTTGATCAGCATCCCCAGGTACAAGATATTGAAGCTCAGTGAGAAAAAACAATGGGCGATGCTACAGGTAACGACGGAGGGCTTCTGCAGAAAGACAGGAACGGCGACGTAGCCAATAATTATGGAAACAAGCTGAACGATGCTGAGTTCAATACTTGATGCCTTGATGATGTCGAGCTTGCGGTTGAACCAATAGATAAGAATCAAGCACACTGCGAAAATAACCCCAACGAGGGACACAACGATCAGTGTGGCCGGCAAAGGATCGTACCAAGAGAAGTAATCCGTAGGCAACGGCAGGCACACGCTCTCCTTTTCCAAATGCGCCGGCCAGTGGAAATGGGGGCATTCCTCGCAGTGCTTGCCGTCGTCGGAGACCCGTTCGTTGTCGAGGCACTTCTTGCACACCCAGCAGCACTCCGCCTGATTAATGCTCTTGCTGGTGCCCGCCATGTACTCGTCGCGGGCGCACGGTTTCTGGCATTTATAGTCTATCGCCAGAATCGCCGGGTCAAACTTGAAGTACTCCACCGAAAAATCCTTGATTTTCTTCAACTGCTTTGCCATCGTGTCGAACGTGGCGACCTCGTCAAATTGAGGCCTCGTGTGTTTGGAGGAGCTGACGATCTGGTCGATGCTGAGAAGCCCGTTAACGAAACCGTCATCGTCGAATTTCTTCGACTTCTTGGTGACGCCGTCACTGACTGTCTTCAAATGGCCGAAAAAGAAATCGCGGTGATGTTTGAAGCACCTGAGCGCTTCCTGACCCTTTCGATTCGGACATCTTTCTGCCAGAAGACTCGCTACTGCATTCGCGAACGTCCACACGGAATCGTATATGAGCGGCACGATCTGGGACCCCGATGTGACGTAAGATGCCAAGACATTCTCCAAACAGTCGTGGTTGTCGCATTGTAAGTATTTTCCCACCGCCTGCCGAAACCATGGGTTTTTGTTGGTCAGGTTGAGCTGCTTAAAGTGATGCTGGAATTCCGGGACAGCCTGGATCTTGTACTTGACGATGAAGGTGCCCGGTTGAAGATTTCCCGTGTTGAAGACTTCCAGCAGGTCATCGTTTCCTATCCAGACGAAACGGTTGGTGGCATTGCTGGCCTTGATGGAGCGGACCAATTCTAAGAGTTTGTCTTTCGATGCGAACACAACGGTAACTTTTGGGGTGGTCGGCGACAGCAAGAGATGGATGATGTGCTTGTTGTCGATCATCTCGTCCAGGGTGATGCTGACTTCCACGCAGATGCGCGTTAACTTGGCCCACGCACGAAAAGTTTCGGATATTTCAGTTCCTTCGTCACCCTGCTCAACAATCAAGACGACAAACCGCCAGTTGTTTAAAACCAGGAACTGCTGCACCGCTTCGATGTGGTTTTGAACAGAGGGCATCAGTCGTAGTGTTGTAGACCTTAACGCCTGGATTCGAAAAAAAAAAATATTGGTGTCCCATATGTTAAACTTATTAAAAAAAAAGAAATAATGAGACAAGAAATGAATGAACAAATAATGAGACAAGGAATGCATTAAGAAATAATGAGACAAGAAATAACTGACCAAATAATGAGATAACGAATAAAATGAACAAATAATAAGACCATGAAAGAATGAACAAATAATGAGACAAGGAAGCAATGGAGAAATAATGAGACAAGGAAGGAATGAAGAAATAATGAGACAAGGAAGCAATGGAGAAATAATGAGACAAGGAAGGAATGAAGAAATAATGAGACAAGGAAGGAATGAAGAAATAATGAGACAAGGAAGGAATGAAGAAATAATGAGACAAGGAAGGAATGAAGAAATAATGAGACAAGGAAGGAATGAAGAAATAATGAGACAAGAAAGGAATGAAGAAATAATGAGACAAGGAAGGAATGAAGAAATAATGAGACAAGGAAGGAATGAAGAAATAATGAGACAAGGAAGGAATGAAGAAATAATGAGACAAGGAAGGAATGAAGAAATAATGAGACAAGGAAGGAATGAAGAAATAATGAGACAAGGAAGGAATAAAAAAAATGAGACAAGGAAGGAATAAAGAAATAATGAGACAAGGAAAGAATGAAAAAATAATGAGACAAGGAAGGAATAAAAAAATAATGAGACAAGGAAGGAATGAAGAAATAATGAGACAAGGAAGGAATAAAAAAATAATGAGACAAGGAAGGAATAAAGAAATAATGAGACAAGGAAAGAATGAAAAAATAATGAGACAAGGAAGGAATAAAAAAATAATGAGACAAGGAAGGAATAAAGAAATAATGAGACAAGAAGTTCCTGAAAAAATGTTAGCATTTTTTTTTTCTTTTCGAAATCAGGATTCAAACATAAAACGCCGTGACGTGAAGGGATTGAAGTTTGAATTTACGTCCTGTCCATTTCGCTACCTGTTGCAAAATGTCTTAGCACGACGGTAGCATGGTTGCACGGTAGCATGGTAGCACAGTAGCACGGGGGCACGTTACCATGTATAATAGAAACGAAAAACCAATGATACATTCGTGAAAGGAATGCATAGAATAGTTAATCATGTCATCCCTCAGACATATATGTTAAAGGGGTTGATGTTTTACCGGGTTGACGACAGCTGAGCTCCAGAAACTGATGAAAGGAAACGGGATGGAGCCAAATGTCAGAGACAGCAGATGTGATATCTCTGGGGATTCTGTTCCAAAAGCCCCAATGACGTCGAAAGACTGTAAATCATGGGGACTGTCTGAAATAAAATAAAAAAGTATGTGAAATGTCAATGAGATATATTTTAAAATGTACAAAAGCTAAAGATAAGAAGGCATGTTGTTCTATTTAATGTATTTTATAATTTAAAAAACGAAATCGGAAGTAAAAATATGGATTTTAAATTTGCATTAAGCAGCCAATAATAGAGTCATGTGATTAAACAAGACTACAGAAAATACGTCGGGTAGGTCTCTACTCAAAGACAAGTTTGGGGGCTGTAAAATACAATGTTACATATCATTACGCGAGCTTCATCAGATCTCATATTGTATAAAGAAGAGGTCAATGTCATCGAGGAAGATATAAAATGAAAAAGTAAGGAGCTCAAATAGTTTCCAACAGAAGATTATACTAAAAATAAAATACTATCACTGTTCAGTATAAGCTAAACCTATATGCTATGCAGTGAGTCCTTAAAAGACTTGACTAATCAACTTATTACAAGCTGTCCGTTCTCTGTCACAACTTATTCTCTGGTTCCTGCCCTCCTTATCTTACTGAACTTCTTACTGTTCGAAAGCTTGGTTCCTCCTTAGACAGGCGTATTCTTTCTGTTCCCAGAACACGCACTAAAACATATGGTGAACCATCTATCTCTTTCTGTGTACCCAAAAACTGGAATTCTCTCCCATTACACATCCGCAATATAACGACCATCCCAGCCTTCAAAAAACTACCCTCAAGACCAATCTCTTCAAACTGTACTATACCGACGCATTCTCACCCTCCTCTGACTGATAAACAAAAGTCGATGCTGCTGGGAGCTGTCCAGGGCTAGACAGGGGTAGATAGTACTTGGGTGGTAATTGTTATGTGAAGCGCAGTAAGTCTAGCCATATGCAGTGAGCATAGCCCTACCCCGGGGTACTGCAGTGAGCCTAGCCCTTCGCTGGGGTACTGCAGTCAGCCTAGCCCTACGCTGGGGTACTGCAGTGAGCCTAACCCTAGGCCGGGGTACTGCAGTGAGCCTAGCCCTAGGCGGGGGTACTGCAGTGAGCCTAACCCTAGGCCGGGATACTGCAGTTAGCCTAGCCCTAGGCTGGGTTACTGCAGTTAGCCTAGTCCTAGGCCGGGGCACTGCAGTGAGCATAGCCCTAGGCCGGGGTACTGCAGTTAGCCTAGCCCTAGGCAGTGTACTGCAGTGAGTCTAGCCCTAGGCCGATGTACTGCAGTGAGTCTAGCCCTAGGGCGATGTACTGCAGTGAGGCTATCCCTAGGCCAGGGTACTGCAGTTAGCCTAGCCCTAGGGCGATGTATTGCAGTGAGTCTAGCCCTAGGCCGGTTTACTGCAGTGAGTCTAGCCCTAGGGCGATGTACTGCAGTGAGTCTATCCCTAGGCCGGTGTACTGCAGTGAGTCTATCCCTAAGCCGATGTACTGCAGTGAGTCTATCCCTAGGCCGGTGTACTGCAGTGAGTCTAGCCCTATGCTGGGGTACTGCGCTATGTAAAACAACCTAATAATAATAGAAAGAGACAGACACACAGAGAGAGAGAGAGAGAGAGAGAGAGAGAGAGAAGAAAGGTAAAGAAAGAGAGATAACGGACATACAAGGCAGATTGATTGACAGACAGAAGGGCAGAGACAACGAGAGAGATATAGATAGAGAGAGGGAGGGAGAAAAAGAGAGAGATAGAGACACAGACAGAAAGAAACGAAGAGAGGGGGAGAAAATGAGAAAGAGTGAAAAAGGTGGATAGAAAAAAAAAGCAGGCAGCCTGACAGAAAGACAGACAGACAGAGACAAAGAGAGAGCGTTCGAGACAGAGAGAGAGAGAAAGAGAGAGAGAGAGAGAGAGAGAGAGAGAGAGAGAGAGAGAGAGAGAGAGAGAGAGAGAGAGAGAGAGAGAGAGAGAGAGAGAGAGAGAGAGAGAGAGAGAGAGAGAGAACGCATGATCTCTGCTCCGGCTGCACCTGTAAATGGATTGTGGGCGTTAGCTAAAAAATATTGTACCGTTTTTTCTATCATCGGTTGCTGCACATGCTGTAAAGGTTCAAAATCAAATACAGTTTTGTTGTTGCCCGATATCCATTCTATTCCTCCGCCATCAAAAAAACTAAAACTTAGTTTTCCATTGCTGCCGATAATTTCGCATCGGTCACTTTGTTCATGTGCATCAAAACACCAGGCACCGCTGAACAGGATGTCGTTCTCAAACAAAATATTGCCAGACACCACATCATCGGCTGCGTATTTGCCTGCCTGGTTAAGGGATATGCCGGTTATTTTTTTAGCAGGCCCAAAAATGTTGTACAGGATATCAAGCTGGTGCGGTGCCAGGTCGTGAAAGATACCGCCTCCGGCAATGGCCGGATCTACCCGCCAGGAGAGACTTTCATTGGTTAGTTGCTCTTTGGTGAAAACCGTTTTATATAAAGCCAACCTCACCAGGTGAACATCGCCAATTGCCTTTGCATCTACCAGTTCTTTTAGTTTTTTAAACAGCGGCCATTCTCTGCGGTAATGCGCTACCACCAGTTTTACATTGTTTGCTTCGGCTGCTTCCGTCATTTTTTTGGCAGAAGCATAATTGAGCGCCATTGGCTTTTCAACATAAACAGATTTACCGGCCGCTATGGCAGCCAGGGCATATTGTTCGTGCGATGAAGGCGGGGTTGCAATGTAGATCGCATTCACTTCCGGATCGTTGATGAGTTTATCAGCATCATCATACCAACGTGGCACATGGTGACGATTTGCATAGTCCGCAGCTTTTTCAGCATTGCGGCGCATCACCGCTACCAGCGAAGAATTGG